TGAATCTTAATTCTTCAGTTAATGATTGAATAAGCTCATGGCGAGTTCTATGACAAAATATCTGTAGAAATTCCCCTACCACATTGTTAAATATTTGAGCTTAGCAACTTTAACAACATATTGCAATAACAATCATAAATATGAATGCTGTCATTATTTTAAGAAGTAAGGGGGTACAAATGAAAAGATTTGAAATTGACTAATTTTTCCATTTCACTGAAACATATGTTAACCGCTTCTGTCTTCACTTCTTTCTTTCATTTTTTTTTGCTGAAACCAACTAGCATCTCTGATATATCATTTCTGTCTTTTAATGTGTCAAAACAGAAGTCCATTATTTATGAGGTATTGGCAGGCCGTAACGGTTGTGTGAACTAAGGAAGTTACTAACGAAAGCAGATACTACTGACAGTATTGTGCAGCAGAAAGAGAAAGTTCATATACCTTCTAGATATATATATATATATATATATATATATATATAGCTTTGAAAGACCTTAAGAAAAGTCTGATGCAATCCAATTCAGTACTATGAAGCTCTATGTCAAATACACAGTTTTGAAACTCTTTAAACTGAGAAGCCGTCATTTTCTGTTTTTTTCTCATTTGTACAAAAAAACTTCCTTGTTAAACATTTAAAGAGTATTATGTTGTGGTTCATGAGCCCATGAAAGTAACTGAGAAATGAGTTAGTGATTTTTCAACTTTCCATGACCATTAACCAGTGTGAATAGGGAATATAGAATGTCTTGTGAGATTGACTTCCCATTTTTACACCTTTATTACTGGTAATAAAAGATACTGGATGGCATCATTAAGTGTATAAGTCTTTCATGTGGTATGTCTCTCCGGGATGCGGAGCGACCATGTCTCTCCCCAGCTTCCTGTCCTTTAATACTTATCCACTTACTATGTCTCCCAGTCCCTATTCTGCCATTCATTTTTGTTATACAATGATTTGAAAGTTATGATACAAGTTGATAGAAATCAGAGAGAAAACTTAACAAAAATTTAAGAATAAAGATGTTTTAAGAAATTATTAAAACTATTACATCTAATTACTATTCAGGAATTAGATTATTGGCAAGGAGTTTGGTATATTTTACTTGAAGGATTACATAGACTAATCTGAGCAAGTAGATTTTTGGTTTGGTTTACAGCATATCAACCTCAATGGTTTATTTAATGTTGACAAGATATTTTTTATTGATGGTAATATTCCCCCCCACCCAAATATATTGCTAACATTTTTTCCACCAAAAAATATATTGCTAAAATTTCCCCACCCACAAAAAATGTATTGCTGCTAACATCTTTTTCCTCAAAAAAATGTATTCCTGGTAATAATTTTTTACCAAAAATGTATTGCTGGTATTAAAACCTATTTTTCATAATGCTTTGACCCCAGTTTGGGGGTTAACAATTTGCCCATAGCTAGGTCCCTAACAAGTGCTACCACCTGAGGTCAGGGTGGACCTGGAACCCCAACAATTAAGAGGTGGTTCCATATGCCTCAAAACCTCCTGATCAGAGGGTTTGCTGTTGGATGTAATTTATCCTCTTACCCAGAATGTGTAGATTTTTAGTAATAATAATCCACATCTGGGCAATTTTAAAAAATAAAAAAACAAAATACAGTGACTTAGTTGAAACAATGAACTGTAAACAGTCTTTTAGGAAAATAAAATAAATGCTGACAACAATAATGGTTGCCGTTATCATAGCCCACAAAACCTCCAGCACACCAATCATATTGCAAGATGTCAATTTGCATAAGTTTACAACTACATTACAACCTATCAAATCATTGCAAGCTTCAATTAATATTAAACCCTAATCTCTTTTAATATTAAACCCTAATCTTTTTTTGACTGGAACACAGTGTTTTTCTTTTTTATCCTTTTCTCATATCTATGTAGCATCTGGATAGTTTTAAAAAGTACTTATTCTCTGGTTCCTACAAACACTTGAAAATATTTTCACTAAATTTTCTAATAAAATAATTATTCATTCAGTATACAAGTCATTAAGAAATAAGTATTGAACATTTTGTTTAAATCAGATGATTCCCTGATGTTTTTGCAAATTCTTTTGCTTTCATTTTCGGGAAAAATGTATCCATTTATTTTTGTTGGTACGCAAGATATAATTTTTACAATAATTGATCAAACAAACAGAGTCAGAATTTTTTTTTGATAACACCTATGTTTTCAAGAAATAATATATTCACAAATGGTACCTTCTGAATGGCAGAATGTGATTGAAGAACAACAAATAATGACAAAGAAAGACATACAAACATTTAAAGTTTAAAAACAGATGCAGAGAAACAAGCAATATTAGAAGCTTCATTTGTATGAGTGAAAACGATGCCGTGTTAATAAGTGACAGGGGAGACAACTACGATTTACTAATTCATGCAAGAACAAAAATAATAGAAAAGTATTCAGAATTGTATTATCATCAACAAAATTATTTTACTTACAGTTCATCGATTTTTTTTTCTAAAAATCGTATTTTAAAATAATATGAAAACCCCAAAGAAAATTCGGATTAAAAACGTAAAATTCATTTCAGGATACAATTACTTAATTGTTCACAAATGTTTCATTTATTTTTTTTTTTAAATAAAAGAAAAAAATTATATCAATGCTGACTCATTTGCTTTACAAATGAGAGATTTAAGGAAATATATATGGTAAAAATCGATAGAAATTAAAAATAATAAATAAAAGGAACATCTGTAAAATCCAAGAGTGAAGAGACAGGATAATTTAGGATAAAGTTTTGAACCTCTTATTCATACTCTGCAGACTTGTCGCAGCATTAGTACCATAGGGTTTTCAAGCATCTTTTTAAATATATGATGTAATGAAATAACCTGTCACCCCCATGAGTGACTACACTATAGGCAGTAACTACCTATAATTATTTGTAAGTCAATGGACTACAGAGTTTAGCTGTAACCTGTTCCAGCTAAACAGTCGAACTCTCTGCCTTTGGGCAGAGAGGAATCCGGACGAGGCTCTGCTGAAGGGCAGAGTCTCGTTCAGGAAGGTTGACTACTCCTGAACCCGTTTATGCAGGTTCAAAAAGGGAATATTTTTGGCCGAGCCTACAGGCTCGGAGAACCCATATTAAACCAGCCTTGTGCCACATGCAACCCTCATGGGGGGGGTAGCTAAATATACTAGCTGTGATCTGTTAGGCAGAGAGTTCGACTGTCTGTTTCAACCAGACAGTCTAACTCTCTGCCTTCGGGTAGAGAGGAACCCAGACAAGGCTCTGCCGAAGGGCAGAGTCATGTTCAGGAAGGTTGACCCACCCGATCCCATTTATGCGGGTTCTATGGGCATTTTTTGGCTGAGCATACAGGCTCGGAAGACCCACATTAAACCTGGCCTTGAGCCACATCTACTCTTGGGGGTGGGGGTTAGTAAATACCAACTAGCTCGGATCTGTTGAGTACGACTGACTTACGTGAGAACTACCGACCTTCCAATAGTATCACTCACTACTGAATTGACTTGCGATGACCTTGTGCATAACTGTTACCTTTATTCTGGTTTTTGTACAATAAACCTTTACCTATTTTATCCACCTTGTTTTTCTAGTATATATTCCTATTAGCATGGAATACAACAATATATCATTTAGTTCTTAATGTTTTTTGTTATATATTGTCTTAGGTGGGTTTGTTTTTTATAGGATAAATAAAATTGAAAAATCTAATTAAAAAGCTACTATTAAAAATCATTATTTTTCCAAGAAAATTTGACTTGCAAAAACATTTTGTCAGAATGTGCAAACACCTAACAATGCTAAGAGATGCTTCAATTTAAGTTTTTGGAGATAGATTTAAGGATAAGACTCATACTTTACCTGAATGAGAAATGGTTTTAACAAACAAATGCTGAATTCTCTTTCTCTTAATGGAAAAGAAAAACTTTCTCAGATCAGAGATTTTACTAACACACAAGCCAGTAATTCTTCTTGTAATGCCAGGTCTCTTCAGGACATAGGCGACAATGGCTCTCTACTACACTTTTTTTTTATCTTGTGAATTGCCAGGATGACTTGGGGAAAGATAATGGAGTCGTTTCTTATTGCCTTTCTCACAGTTTGGAATTCAGAGTTTTTTTGCCTCACAAGTTTAAGAGCCCAGACTACTCTGATGCCTTCAGTTTTGAATTCAAAATTATCCTTCTCTTAGACTGACAGCCACACAAATCTAGAGACCCCAGTATACTTTGCTATTTAATCTATTACTGGAGGAGAGAATATGGATTGCTACCTTTCCAGGTATTTGTGTGGGAGTGAATGTAACAGATGAGGGTGGGATTTGAACTCAGCTCATTGATTTCACTTCCTGCTCTGATAACACTTACACTACCCACCTGTTATGAGTAGAACATTAAGCTTAAAAAATTATACAGGACTAGAGAAAGAGAGTGAAAAAAAAAAAACAAAAAAAAAGAGAAGAGAAAGAGTGAAAAACAAAAGAGAAGAGAAAGAGAGTGAAAAACAAAGAAGAGAAAGAGAGTGAAAAACAAAAGAGAAGAGAAAAACAAAAAAAGAGGAGGAAAAACAAAAGAGAAGAGAAAGAGAGGAAAAACAAAAGAGAAGAGAAAGAGTGGAAAACAAAAGAGAAGAGAAAGAGAGTGAAAAAAAAAGAAGAGAAAGAGAGAAAACAAAAAGAGAAGAGAAAGAGAGAAAAAAAAGAGAAGAGAAAGAGAAAAACAAAAGAGAAGAGAAAGAAATTGAAAAACAAAAGAGAAGAGAAAGAAAAAAACAAAAGAGAAGAGAAAGAGAGTGAAAAACAAAAGAGAAGAGAAAGAGAGTGAAAAACAAAAGAGAAGAGAAAGAGAGTGAAAAACAAAAGAGAAGAGAAAGAGAGTGAAAAACAAAAGAGAAGAGAAAGAGAGTGAAAACAAAAAGAAGAGAAAGAGAAAAACAAAGAGAGAAGAAAAGAGAGTGAAAACAAAAGAGAAAGAGAAAGATCAAAAAACAAAAGAGAAGAGAAAGAGAGGAAAAACAAAAGAGAAGAGAAAGAGAGGAAAAAAAAAAGAGAAGAGAAAGAGAGTGAAAAACAAAGAGAAGAGAAAGAGAGGAAAAACAAAAGAGAAGAGAAAGAGAGGAAAACAAAAGAGAAGAGAAAGAGAGAAAAACAAAAGAGAAGAGAAAGAGAGTGAAAAACAAAAGAGAAGAGAAAGAGAGTGAAAAACAAAAGAGAAGAGAAAGAGAGTGAAAAACAAAAGAGAAGAGAAAGAGAGTGAAAAACAAAAGAGAAGAGAAAGAGAGTGAAAAACAAAAGAGAAGAGAAAGAGAAAAAAAACAAAAGAGAAGAGAAAGAGAGGAAAAACAAAAGAGAAGAGAAAGAGAGTGAAAACAAAAAAAAGAAAAGAGAAGAGAAAAAGAGAGGAAAAACAAAAGAGAAGAGAAAGAGAGTGAAAAACAAAAGAGAAGAGAAAGAGAGTGAAAAAAACAGAAAGAAAAGAGAAAGAGAAGAGAAAAACAAAAAGAAAAGAGAAAGAGAGTGAAAAACAAAAGAGAAGAGAAAGAGAGTGAAAACAAAAGAGAAGAGAAAGAGAGGAAAAACAAAAGAGAAGAGAAAGAGAGTGAAAAGAAAAGAGAAGAGAAAGAGAGAAAAAAAAAAGAGAAGAGAAAAAGAGAGAGAAAAAGGAAAAAAAAAAGAGAAGAGAAAGAGAGGAAAAGAAAAAAGAGAAGAGAAAGAGAAAAACAAAAGAGAAGAGAGGAAAAGAGAGAGAGAGAAAACAAAAAGAGAAGAGAGAGAGAGTGAAAAAAAAGAGAAGAGAAAGAGAGTGAAAAACAAAAGAGAAGAGAAAGAGAGTGAAAAACAAAAGAGAGAGAAAGAGTGAAAAAGAGAGAGAGAGAAAGAGTGAAAAAGAGAGAGAGAGAAAGAGTGAAAAAGAGAGAGAGAGAAAGAGTGAAAAAGAGAGAGAGAAAGAGTGAAAAAGAGAAAGAGAGAAAGAGTGAAAAAGAGAAAGAGTGAAAAAGAGAAAGAGAGAAAAGAGAAAGAGAGAAAGAGTGAAAAAGAGAGAGTGACAAAGAGAGAAAGAGAGAGAGAGAAAGAGTGAAAAAGAGAGAGAGAGAAAGAGAGTGAAAAAAAGAGAGAGAGAGAGAGAGTGAAAAAGAGAGAGAGAGAGAGAGTGAAAAAAAGAGAGAGAGAGAGAGTGAAAAAAAGAGAGAGAGAAAGAGAGTGAAAAAAAGAGAGAGAGAAAGAGAGTGAAAAAAAGAGAGAAAAACAAAAAGGATAATTTTGACAGACCCTAATAAACACAGTCATAGTTCTTTGTGATATTTAAACTGGAAATTTAGACATGTTAGAAGCTACTGCAAGTTTTACATGCTTGAGAGCATCTGAATGTGACTGCAATCAGGTAGTATTGGATTTCAGTACACAGCATTAGCACTCATCTCATAGTTAACTAGTGGTACGGGAAATTTCAAACTTTGTAAAAGTTGTAGAATTCCAAAAAACCATAACCAGTAAAAGCAAGGAGATTAATTTGCTATCATTTGAATGTGAAATCAATTTATATTCATATAAAAATCAACTTCTAATCTTCGAGATACATCAATTTAATTACATTAACATCACATATTCAGATTTTTCAAGAATTTGGTCAGGGATTTAACTAGTGAAATTTCTTAATGGCCAAGTTAAAGCCACTTTAAGGGCTGGCAGGGTCAAAGTCACTTCACAAACAGATTTTACAGATTCCTTTTAACACATTACAAAAACACACAAAGATGGTCATTTACTAAATTTCCTCGACCAGCAAGTTCTTTAAGAAATATTTAATAGTAGATAAATAAACGATACCAATAAAAGACTGGAACAACTTTGTTGAAGAAAAGTTCAGACAGGCAGCAAGCATTTTGTTTTGTTTATTATTCCAATGTTTTCTTCAATTTTATTCTTTTATCCTTCTGAAGAAAAGCAAGCAATCAGGCGGTCAGCTGTTGAATCTTTGATGCAATCATTATGTTAGTAGTCAGCTGTAGAATTTGGCTACCAACAAACAAGTTCCCTGGTCGTGGAAATAGTAAAAAAATCTTCGTACTTACAATTAGACCTACCTGTCGCCTAAAGTAAAAGGCCATACCACAGGAAACAGTCAGGAAAAGAAACATAAATGTTAGGGTCCCACTATACTGAAATGGAAGAAGAAATAAAAAAAAAATCAGATGATGATGATGATAAAGAAAAAGAAAATATTAAAAAGTTGCAGGTAATTTTCCAAGAAAAAGAATTAAGGACTCTGAATCCAATAACCCATTATGTTCTTAATGGTCAGATTAGCTGTCCCTGGGCAAAGATATTGAATCTCACATCTCTTGGTGGACTGTCCATATTTCTGGCAGGAACAGTCCCTGTTGCCAACATAAAGAGTGTTTTCCCATGGAGTAATGGTCAGCAAGCTACTTGCAGACCATTAGTAATGAAGAGTGTGATCCTCACCAGGTGCTTTGCGACTTAAGAGTTAAGTCTCCGAGTTTGATGATTAAAGTGCCCAAGATACCAATCTGTTCATATTGTAATTTTGATCCTCAGAGAACTCCATTTTTTTACCCTTGTACCAGATTAAGCAAAGCTTAACCCATTAATGCACATTTTTGGCCTAGACAGGTGTCTTAGGAGTTTATTTATTCCTTATGTTTAATTTCAGTAGTTACCATTGTCGTCTTTATAGAAACTAGAACATCAAATATATATGTGTACAAAACATCAAAAAATAATATTGATTAGAAATAATAAAAATAATACTAATAATAAAAAAATACCTTTCAAAATAATCATTATTTTTCTACTTGTGAAATGTAAAATTACGACAGAAAGTGTCTTACGGCTAATAATAAAAACTTTAAAAGGCTAAGTGTTGTAAAATATACCTCTGCAAATGCAATGTATGTAAGCAATTCAATGTAAATACAAGGAATAACATAGTGAGTTTAATTTTAACAGATCCCCAAATGGGGCTCATAGCAGGTAATGGGTTAAGAAATCAAGTAAATAATTATTAGGAAACCTAACGTAATGGTTAACAAGCCTCTAGTTTAATAGTGTCATAAAAAGCTTTTCACAGTCTATAAAAATAGTAATGCTACCTATTAATTTCCTTTGGTAAAGTGTCAAATTAAATTTATTAGTGAAGTTAGTTTTATCCTCACTGGGTGCTCTGCACTTTACTAGATTCTTACCAATTACCTACTAACTACTATGATCTTGATATCATTTATACTTGGGTTTTTAAGTGACTGTTCACATCTTATGGCATCAAATCTGTCTATGAGCATAATGACTTTCAAATGAATTTTGCACCCAGTGAAGTGCCATTATAGTTTTGCACCCTCAACTTCAAAATACCTTAGAAAATACACCCTATGCATACAAATTTTCATCATACCACTTAAATTGAATGTATTGTTTTAAATCAAGAACAATCAGTATCAATAAAAAGTATTTTCAGGGTAATACAAATTCAAGAACAGGATATAAACCTGTGACAATCTGATGCCAATAATGGTCAAATTTTGAGTATTTGGATCTTTGATTCAATATAAACTCTGCAAAAAAAAAATCATTCATCATATATATTGATATATTGGTCCATGCAATTTTTTTTTTAATAATTACATCTCTAAGCAAGGTGATAAAGCCACTAAGATTAAAGTGTGTTAGTGAGAATGAAGGAAACTGAGAAAACATTACCGAGGAGAAAGAACAATAAAAAGAACAGGATTAAAGGAGATTGATGACGACGGTTGTCATTGGATTAAAATTTTTGTAGATTGTAGTTTAGAGAAAGCCAGAAGAGATTATTTTGGATTTGAATCTTTGCCACCAAAGTAACCTCAAACTGGTTAGTATCTATATTGGTGGGCATTTGGAAATACCAGGTGCTGTTAACTTGGATGTGCGGGTGGTGTAATGGACAACAGCTTGGAATTGGGGAGCAGAGTTCCAATTTCAGTTGGATTCATTATATTCAACTTAGACGCAAATACCCTTGAGAAAAATAGGACTCTACCTCTTCTCCACCCAGCTAGGAGTTATAACTTATATCAGTAAATCACTTTCTCCAAAACATTCTTACAATCTCAAAAAAAAAAAAAAAAAAAAAAAAAATTAATTAATCAAAATCCCAACGATTTGTGGTTGGTGGGTTGCAAAAATATACCAGTGCCTCTGCCATACGACATGAATTATTGAAGCAACATTGAATAAACATTACTTACAAATCCTAATACACATTTATCTTCACGCATTGTTCCACAGCAACCACAAAATGCTAGTAGAGCAATCGTGCCACCTGCTCCTATCAAAAGGTAAGTGGCCACCTCAAACCATTCTTCTCCGACCACCACAGATACTTCTCGCGCGCTGTATTCCGTAACCAAGTACCAAATTCCCACTGCCAGGGCTCCACAGCCCAGAATCTGAAAGTAAGTAAAAAGAAAAAAAAAAAGGCGACATTTGTTAAAAAATATAATTCAGTCAATAATAAAACCAGTAAATAAAAATTAATTCATTTTTAAGAAAATTTTAAAACTTTGGAAAATCTAATAGAATTTCCATTTATCACCATCACTCCCTTGATTGCTTTGATGTTTGGGGTGGGGATACTTAAGAGCAGAAAAAAAAAAAAAAACAACCTTCTCCAAGATGATTTGTTGGTGGTGGCTCTCCAGAGTTCTGGCATTGTTATGTTGATCTACTCTTTGATTTTGTCTGCATTCTTTTATATTAAACATGCCAGTTCCCAGATGGAACATTTAACTAAACAAGAAAGATGCAAATAAATATTTTTGTTAAATTTAAAACTGGCATAGTAACCGTCAAAAATGATTATATACATACATACATACTGATCTGCACAATTTTCTATCCTTTATAGATCTTAGTATATATGTATTTTTTTTTCAATATCTCTCCTAATTCCTGATCTCCCAATGAGTTACATAAGCTTGTTAGGGACGTTATACTCTATTTCTCTTTGTCTCTCTTGGCTTCAATATGTCCTGTGATTGTCAAATTGTCTAAGCCCTCTTTCCCCATTGTGTACCCTGGAAATTTCAACTTTCTCTTTCTGATGTTAAGTATGAGTATCCATTTTGTTTCAATTTTCTCTGGAACTTCCTTGTTGCTCCCATGTTTGGTCAATGGTATTCTCGGCATTCTTCTTAGCTTTTGGAAAGCATCTTTCGCTATTCCAGAGTGCTTTCGTTGTTGCATTTTCCATCTTTTTTTTTCTTAAAACACTTCCCAGATATTTGTATTTTTGTACTTGCTTGATTTTCGTATCTCCAATTTGCAACTCGCATGTTGTGTTCTTGGAGATGCAATAAAGCAAGCTGAATTGCCATGTAATATCAATCCTCCTCTATGGCAATGAATGCTGGACAATTTCATCACAGATGAAGAGAATACTTGCGGCCAGAGAGATGTGCTTCTACAGAAGGATGTTGAGAATCACATGGACAGAACATGTGAGCAACAAGGTTACTTTTATTTATAATCAGAAAGAGACAGCTGAAATTTCTGGGATGCACAAGAAAAGAAGGCTTAGAGAATTTAACATAAAAATCTATAATATATAGAGGGTGCGATGGGTAAATTGTTATTTTATATTTTTAGTTTCATTGCATTGTTTGTTTTTGATTTTGTCAACTGCACAGTGTAATAGGGTCAGTTGGGCACAGTGTGAGAAAAAGAGCACCATGACGCAATTCCCTCCACCAGAAATTTGGAAGCGCCATACTGTGTGGTTTGGTTTGTGGCATATTAACCTTAATGGGTTATTTAATGCCGGCAAGGTTTTCTTGCTGGTAATATTCTTGTTCAAAAATGTATTGCTGCTAATATCCTCCACCAAAAAAATATTACTCATAATGTCCCCCCCCCTAAAAAAATGTATTGCTGGTAATATTTTTTTTTTCAGAAAGTATTTCTGGTATTAAAACCTGTTTTTACACTTTCATAGAGTTTTGACCTCAGTTTGGGTTTAACTATTTGCCCATAACTGGGACCCTAACAGGTGCTACCACCCTGGGTCAGAGTAGACCTGGGAATACCAGCAATTAAGAGGTGGTTCCACCCTCCTCAAAACCTCCTGATCAGAGGCCTTGCTGTTGGATGTAGTTTATCGTCATACCCAGGATAGACAGCATGCTGTACTGCTTGGCATTCGCGCCGGAAGCTCCAATACGAACATTTTAGAGTGTTTGAGTGTCAATCTGAGGAAAGTGAAGAGGATTTGGAAAGAGTTAGATGAGTCTAATGGTGATTACTAAGGTGGAGTGATCATTAGTGATGGCGACGTTATGCCTCCTTTCATCTTCCCAAAGGGTCTCAAACTCAACACGGAGGCCTACATCAAGTGCCTTGTGGAGGTAGTGCTACTCTGGGTCAAGAGGGTGGCTGTTTGAAGACCCTATGTCTGGCAACTGGAGATTGCATCATGCTACAAAAGCAAGAGAACCCAGTCATAGCTGTCAGACAATTTCTGCTATCATATCACCCTTAAATCTGGCCAAATAACTCCCTAGACTGCAACTCACTTGATTATTGTGTGTGGGGCGCAGTTGAGCGTGAGACAAAGAAAACTCCTTGTAACACCAAAGATGAATTGAAGGCAAGTATGTCGGAATTCATAATCTTAAACAAGGAGACCGTCCAGAAGAGTTGCAGGAGATTCCGAAGTCACCTGGGGGACATGGTTGAAGCCAATATCGATTTTATTGGATAAATTTAGTTTTAGTACGTCAAGATATTTTTGTGTAATTTTGGTAAAATGAGATAGTTATTTCCGTTTTTTTTTTTTTTTTTTGTGTAATTCAGGCGACAATTTATTCATCTCACTCTGTATATTAGACCTGGAAGGATCCAGAGTTTTAAAATCTGAGGCAAGATCAGCAGTTGGCAAGATGAAAAGAAAACTGTAAGACCAGCTGAGATTGTAACAAAGATGCTGTCGGTCTTAGACAATTTCCGGATCGATAAGATTACTGAAAAAAATAAAAAAAAATATACGACAAACGGTGAAATATCAGAAGGCATCCTTAAATCAATCTCCATAGGGATACCAAAGAAAGTGCAAATGTATGCGAACCCCATTAAACTATCAGTTTGATGACTTGTATAACTAAACGGATCATTCTGTTTTTAATGAATAAATTAAACTGAAAATAGGGCGAGAAAAAGTGTTGCTTCGTTGAAAACACCGAAACAAGAAAGGCTATTTTTATGATAAAAATGCTATCAAAGCAAGCAATACAGAAAGGCTTAAATTTTATAGATTATACACAAAGGTATTTAATAGGATATAACAAAGTTACATGGAGAAATATATTCGAGTAACTCACAGCATGTATTGGGAACAAATAGATGGAATCTGAAAGAGTTCAAGTGAATGCACAGCAATAGGAAAAAAGAAGGGTGCGTTTTCTTGCCAGATTTATTTAACATACAGAGAGAGAGAGAGAATCCTAAGAAAACTACAAATCCTACCAGGATTTATTATTAGCGAGCATAATCAGAACAGCTTAAGATACATGGATAACAATACATTGATGGCAGACTCAGAAAGAATACTGAAAGATCTTTATTTACATTATTCGGATTATTGTCCTCATCTTTGTCGCCCATATTCATTACAAAGTTTCGGCCGTTGTACGCTCCGGCCTTCTTCAGGTGGTTGGAATGTCGAACTGAACCCTTTATTTCGCTCTCTGGAGTAGACTGTTCTAGTTCCATGTGCCATGTTTAATGGATGTCAGTTATCAGTTATCTCCTGTTAATTTCCCTCTGAAAGTTTTCCACTGCCTTAGCCGGGTATTGAACTCACACAATAGGTCGTTTCTAATACATACTTACCAAAATCGCCTTTTTTCTTTTCGACAGTAGTGTTAAACGTGTCTACGCTTCGTTCCATATTTCAGTTTTATACTATTAAGAAATTGACTAGATATTTACGGAAAAATACACTGTAATTGAGATAGAAAATTTCGATAATGTTTTGGAAAAACGAGATCTGTTCGTTCCATCGGCTTTGCCTTGATAATCGGGTGTTTCTTAAATATCCGCTTTGATAAAATTGGTCGAAAAACCAGCCGCTTAAGAGGACTTATAAAACCATCAACTTTGTGCACCGTCTCTTCATGCTACACTTAAGATTTGGGCCACCAAGAAATTCTTTAAATATAGAGAATTAAAATCCGTAACGATAGAGTAATGCATAGCGGCTCGGATTGGGGAATCGGAGAGCCGAGTTCGAATTCCAGTCAAAACCAATACATTCACTTACGTGCTAATACCATTGGTAAAGGCATGAATCCTCTTCTCCCCCCAGCTATGGGTAAATAGCAGGACAGACCAGGTTCTATAGCCTTGGATAGCAACTGGTCTACCGCAGAAATAAATGCCAACCTACTGCCTTTGTCAGTCATGTATCGAAAGATACATGATCGCCTAAACGTGTATCACGCATGGCACATAACTAAAACGATAATAAAAAAGAATCTGGAAAAATTATACTTTGACATGTTTCGCTTGTGAACTGGCGTCATCAGAAAAAAATTATTTCACAAGAGCAAAATGTTCATTTGCGAAATAAAACATGGTTCCTGTTAAGTGGCCGAGCGCTTGAGGTTTTACCTTAACTATATATCGAAATAAGATTTTAAATAACTTTAATAACCCCGCCATATATATATATATATATATATATATATATATATATATACACACACACACGCGCTTCCGAGCATACCCATCTAAGGTGGCTAGATTTCAGTAAAAATTGAGAAGAGTGAAATATTCAAATTAAAAATGTTTAATTTTTTTTAATTTAATAATTAAAAATGAAAACCCAATTAAAACACACACGGAATAAAAAAAATGCACGTAAAACGCTATGTAAGAAATTAAAACTAAAAAAAAAATAATTTAAAAACAAAACTTTTGTTTTACTTGAGAGACCAACACAAAAAATGTCAATTTAGATAATAATAATAATGATAATAAATAATAATAATAATAATAATAATACTAACCAATATGAAAACATTATAACAATGAAGAACTCCTCGTAAACAATTCGTACATCGATCTCTATCGTCCGTCTGACGTATGCGCGTTCTGGAATCTTCCATGTGATTCTCTGTTGATGTCTTCCGCTTCTTCAGCGACTGAAAAATCAAGAGAGATGGTTGAAATGGCCAGTACCGTTTTTTTTTTTTTTTTAGTTTTGTTTAAAACGGATCTTATAAGCCTATAATTAGTCTTCTGTAGACAAACATTAACTCGGCTCAATTTACATAAGCAAAAAGTCATTTTTTTTCATGGTTCCGTCTTTCAAGTATTTAATATTTGTCCGTCTGCCTTGGATTTGAACACCGACCAATGACACAACATAAGCAACTACAGACATCAAGTAAATCAATTTGTAATGATATATAAGAAGCGTAATGACGTCATAGAAAAATTGTTATCTGGATGCTATATTTAGAAGGGTTAGCATCTGCAAGATAAGGTTTGTGTGTGTATGTGTGTGTGTTGGGAATAGATGGAACAAAATATATAAACTGGTGCTGTTTACATATAAAAATGATTATTTCCGTTCTACCTACTTTGTCTCGTCATGTTTTCTTTTTGTGAACTGTATACTTAATGGACACACACACACACATACTCACTCTCATATAACTATTTATATATCTCTAACAAGGCTAACTGCGTTGTAGTCAGATGCTGCATTGTCACTAACACTTCAATCTTGACTAAATCTGCAACAGAATTTTTTTTCGTTCAAGATTTAGGGTGTCAAGAGCGTTTCAAGGCCGGTCGAGTGTTGGTTGGAGATAATGTACTTTCACAGTGATCAAACACGAGCGAAACAACCGAAAATGTTAGAGACTTGTGTACTCATTTCACGACGACCGACAATCTATAAGTTCTTTCACGTGTAACTGGAATTAGATGTGGAGTTTGGCGGGAGATCCTCGCGGAAAAGCTGAACGTGTATAGCGTTGCTGTAAACTGTATCACCCGGCGCTTGATACTCAATAAAAAAAAGTAGCCATGTCTTGAGCACTGCGAGAATATATTATATACTAGAGTAATTACTTTGAGTCTGGGAATATATATATTATTCGACGTATGAGGGTCAAGCAGATCAGTTCCTAGGAAACCGACCGCCCGACAACAGCACACGAGATTTGATTATAGTGGTGAAGGTTTTGTGCAGGACCAGCCACACTTTTTTGAAGGGCCGAATACAGAGACCTGGTGCACTACGTGCCACAAGGTTCCCAAACGACCCTCCGCAGGTTTTGAATTCAGAGTTGTCCTCCTTCCAGTTACCATCCAAGGCTATAGAACCCAGTCTGTCCTGCTATTTATCCATAGCTGGAGGGAGAAGAGGATTCACACCTTTCCCAAGGGTATTAGCACTTAAGTGAATGTAATGGATTCAACTGGAATTCGAACTCGGCTCTCCGATTCCTCAAACCAAGCCTATATATTCAGTTGTATGGATATTAGTTTGTGACCCTGCGTTTCACGTTTTTGCGATCAGACAAACTGTTTTATTTTTTAAAAATAAATCTATTTATGCTTATTTGTGTTTGATTATGTTTGGTGGTGGGAGGGGTAATTTTCTTCTGTGTTTGCATTTTAGTTCACACAAATACACACATGAAAACAATTCGAGGTTAGGCGTAGGTACACATCCATGTGTCCGAGTATATATATATATATATATATATATATATATATATATATATATATATATATACACACACAATTGTAATTCTATTTAGGTGTCGTGACTAGCGTTGTAGCGATGCCCTCTTAACAAGGAACAGATGTGGGTACTCTTGAATATGTTAGCTCTATCAGTGATACTGAGCACTTTTCCACTAAGTACTACGAATGTAATTTTATATATATATATATATATATATATGTGTGTGTGTGTGTGTGAACAAATAGTAATTATGCATGTGAAATTAACAGAGCGCGCAAATACATGGTTCTACACCCCTAAAAACCAAACTGAAATTTTAAAAAAATTGATAAAAACTTTCGACTGCAACCATTTTTGATGGCCAACTACAGAATTTTATAAAGCCCAGTTTGTTACCAAGCGAAAATAGTTAGGCAGGCGACTGAGAATCGAACTCGCTACCTTAGTAATAGCAGACGATTTTGCTAACCATTACTCTACAATAATTGCCCTAAGTGACGATAAAACATATCAGGGCCAGTGCGTACTACCCCCGAACCGTACGACTGGTGAGTGGGGTGTTTACGAGACAAGCCTGATTATATACATTACAAATTAAACTAAGCTATTAAAGGATGAAAAATATTCGCGGATTCTGACGTCATTCTAATGTCTTGATTTTTTCGTCCAAATCCATGTCGAAAGAACACGATAAAATTCACTATTTTTTTTTTAATCAATGTTCTTTTTTTATGTTGAATGCGTTAAAATTATTCAACTTTTTAACAAAAAAATATATTCAGAGTTGATAGTAAAAAATCACCGCAAAACATTATTTAAGATGGAATGATCTATTATGACATGTGTAATTTGTATTTAGATACATTGTATTTATTTTCAATTTTTCTAGTTGAATTGTTCACTTATACTGCATATAAGGCATTATTGTACATAATTAGGTTATAATAAAATTTGTATTTTATATGATTACGATCTTATGAAAATTGAGATGTAGTGGAGTGGGGCGTCCCGTATCTTAGATTCGGTGGGGGTCACGTGTCTCTTGAAACTGCCCTTCCTCTGAAAGTCACTAGATTCGTTTCAAAATAATGGCGTGATTTCATCAATAATAAATAAATCTGCTTCTATATTTAAATTCACCATTTTTATTCCTAATGTTGAATGCATTAAAATTATTCAACTTCTTCCCAAGAAAAATCTAAACTTGATGTTAAAAATTAAGATGAGAACGAATAGAGTAGATTGTTCTAGTTCCACGTGCCATCCCTTTAACTCAACTCGTCAATCTTTGGTTCACCACTGCTGTGGCCTGGTATTGAACTCACAATTCTTTGGGTCCTCAAGGACATATGGCCCAGTGGATAAAAATGTTGGTTAGATCCAGTGACTAGACCCAAAGACTTGTGAGTTCAATACCAGGCAACAGCAGTGGTGAAGCAAAAAAATTGTGGAGTTGAATTAAAGGTAAATAACTGACATCCAGAAGAGGCATGGTACGTGGAACTAGAACAATCTACCCCAGTGGACAAAAAGGGTTCGGTTCGAAATTCCAACCACCTGAAGAAGGTCGGAGCATACAACTGCCGAAACGTTGTGAATATGGCAATGAAAATGAAGATAACAATCCGAATAATGTAAATAATGCAAGTAATCATAATACCTCATCTCAGAGATATAGACAGTAATAAATCTCTTAAAAATGAAATGAAATTGTTCAATATTTGCGC